TATGCAGTTCAGGCTGGCCTTGAGCTCACTTTGTAGCCCAGGCTGGTCTCGAACTTGCAATGATCCTGACTCAGCCTCCAGAGTGCTGGGATTACAGGCATATGCCACCACTCCTGGCTGCAATAAACTTTTTAAACATTCACCATATATGTTTATCATCCTTTGAAGTCAACTTACTTTAAAAAGCCAGGTGGGAATTCGAAAAGGAGGCAAGATGCAAGCATATCATTGCCATGTGGCATGACTAAAACCCTGTGACCTATTGCGAACAAGGGTAATTAAACGTACACTGTAATTCATTAAGTGTGCTGCCTCCATATAGTTCTCTAAATTTTACAGCAAAAATTCTTCAGGTTTTTTGTTGCTGCTGTTATTGTTTGTCAAAAGATGCTTTTAATAAGCTGAATTATTATTTTGAAAAAATATACATGTGCACTTACATTTTTACAAACAATGTCAAGTTGTTCAAAGTCTACATATAACATGTGACAGGTCTGACTGTATAATTATACTGCTGAACTCTGAGACTAAAACAGGTAAAACATCATCTAGTCCCCTTTCTTCATAATAATTAAAAATTGCCACTCTGAGTTACGGAATAACAATGAAAAAGATGACCAGAGGTAAGGTTGCACTAATACAATTGGCTTATACTAATAAATTCCCTTCAGCTGACAGAATAATTTGAAACAAATAATTCATGCAAGTGTTTCTACAACAGTGAAGCTTTAAAAAGAATACACTGTAATAGTGTATCACTTTATAGCGTAAGACAATCTAAAACTCCCAAGCATTCTTAAATCATATACAAAATACCTGGTCCTTTCACTTGAGTACAAATTCTGACATTTGGTTTGTTCTTATCAGTACTAAGGCCTTGGCTGTAACCTTGACCAAAGAATGTCATCGTAAACGATGAGCCATCTATCTGTGAAAAAGAAAGCAAAGGGCTCATTTAATAAATATGTCATTTTCTTGGAAACACAATCAAACCTGATATTCTACTTCATGAGACATTGTCAAAAGATAAAAATATCAACATTAGCTCCTACAATATCTTGTCAGGCTTTAAACATGGGCAAAAGCTAATTCTTTGAGGTTTAAGTTTTGATGACTGGGGGTGGGGAGAGATAAAGAACAGAGAAAAGATAAAGGTAATTCTTGGACTGTAGTTTAAAATATGAGAGCACCATTAATACAGGTAGTTAAGAAGAAAAACTGGAGGTAGTTTTTATTGGGGAGGTAGAACATGGATATCTGGTCTTAGGTACCTGTTGTGACAAGACAAAAACAACAGGCAAGTCATGAAATAAAGGTCTGAGACACAGATGACTGCACCACTTAAAGATGTAAAAATTCAACTTGAATTCTAGAGGACATATCCCATCATCTTTTAATTACAATCCTAAATTTAGGAATAAGATGAAAAGAATTCAGACATGATCAACACATTTTTATTAAGTATCAACTAATGACCAGATATTATGTTAGGCCTTGACATATAAATAAAACTTGGTCCTTATCTTTCCTGGAGTTTACAATATATTGAGAGAGACAGATATAAACAGATTTAATAACAATATGAGGCATGAGGTAAAAGATGCAGGACAGTCTCAGAGGACCACCCTGTTAAATATCCTAGAGCAGAGGACAGGATTTTGAAATATATAAAGAAATTTATTACACAGAAAAGTAGGGTGGATTTCAAGAAAGAGAAACCATTATTGAAAGGCAAGAAGAAATGCAGTAGCATGGTGTATAAAGAGCCTACAATTCAAGAGGTGCAATAAAGTCAGATGCACAGGCCGTACCTGTCGTCTCCCCTGATGTGGCATTTGCACCAAGTGACGATAACCCTCTTGTAGGCCAGGTACACATTTAGCTTTAGGGTTATTTTCAACATAGTCCCTGAGTTGCTATTCCAGTTAATCAGAGGTGGATGAAAATCTGCCACCCAGAACTAGATCATGAAAGGCCTATGGTGGCCTCACACCTGTGGAGATAGAATTCCCACCAACTGTGTTCCAAGTGTGGATCAGGATTTGTGTCTTTTTAATAAAAGTTCCCTAGCTGATTCTGATATGTAGAATCCTAGGTAAAGAACCACTGCCAAGTGACTCAGTAGTCAGGGAAGTGTTTTAAAGAAGGCAGTAACAAGGTCAGATTTTCTGTCTTAGAATGGATGGCAGTGGCAAGATGGATTAGCAAGAAACCATAGAAATACTATAAAAGGTTCAGTCCAGAAACATGGGTGTACACCAAGAGAAGAACAAAAAGGCACCCACAGGAGAAAATATTCGCAGGAATCGGGCTGTCCAGGAGGTGAGAGGGGGGTGAGCACACAAAGCTTCATCTATATTTACAGCCACTCCCACCGCTAGCATCACTGCCTGAGCTCTGCCTCTTGTCAGCTCAGTGGCGGCCTAAGATTCTGATGGGGGCACAAACCCTACTGTGAATTGTGCAAGCAAGGGATCTAGGTGGCACACTCCTTTGAATCACTCTGAAACTCTACCACCTCCGGTCTGTGGAACCAGTGTCTTTGGTGCCAAAAATGTTGGGAGTCCACTACAATAAGGAGTTTATATCCAGAAAACAGACAACTCCTAAAATTAAACAAGAAAATTCATCCAGTTAAAAAGATGACTTAAATCGACATTTCTCCAAAGATACACAGCTAATAAGCACACGAAAAGATGTTGACTATCACCAATCCTTTGGGAAATGCAAATTGAAACCACCATAAAATACAACCTCAAAACCCTCATGAAGACTCTCATAAAAAAATACACACCCAAAAAATAAATGTTCATTAAGAGGTAGACCAATTGGAACCCGTTAATTATTTATTTATTTATTTAGGGTTTTTTGAGACAGAGCCTCACTATGTAGTTTGACTGACCTTGAACTCCTCTGTAGCCCAGGCTGGTCTTAAACTTGCAGTGATCCTCCTGCCCGAGCCTCCCAAGTGCTGCGATTACAGGCATGTGCTACTGCACCCGGCAAAACTGAATGATTTTTTTGTTTTAAATATGGGGTCTCACTCTGTAACTCAAGCTGGCCTTGAACTCACTAAGTAGCCCAGGCTGGCCTCAAACTCATGGCGATCCTCCTGCCTCAGTCTCCCAAGTGTCGGGATCACAGGTGTGTGCCACCACACCTGGCTCAGAATCTGTGCACACCGCTGGTGGGAACGTAAATGGTCTACCTACTATGAAAACCTTTTTAGTGGTTACTTACAAAATTAAAAACAGAATTAACACATAATCCAGCAATTTTACTTCTGGGTAATTCTTTTATAGGTATATACCTAAAAGAATTTAGAGCAAAGTCTTGAAGCAATTATTTGTACACCCATGTTCACAACAGCATGATTCACAAGAGCCAAAGCTGGAAGCAACCCAAGCGTCCCCCACAGGTAAATGGATAAACAAAACATAGCACATATGCATACTGGAGAATTATTCTGTCTTAAAAAGGAAGGAAATTATGACAGACGCTTCAACATGGATGAACTGTGAGGAAATTAAGTGAAAAAAGCCTGCCACAAAAGGACAAGTACTTTATGACTCCATTTATATGAAACACGTGGAGTCATCAAATTCATAGAAACAGCAAGCAGAATGGTGGCTGTCAGGGTTTAGGGTTGGGAGAAATGGGAACTATTATAATTCAATGAGTATAGCGTTTCAGTTTTGCAAGATAAGAGTCCAGGAGTAATAGTAATAATGGTAATAGTTGCACAAAAATATCAATGTACCTAATGCCACTGAACACTTAAAAGTGGTTAAGATGGTTAATTTCATGTTTTGTACACTTCATCACAATTAGAATAAAATGAGAGATAAAGTCCTAAATCAAGGCAGCTGTGATGGCTTTAGAGAAAAGTCTAGGATGATGTATATGTTTCTGCCTAGGGAGAAGATGGTGCCACCAACCGAGATGGAAAATAAAGAAGAAAGAAGTTCTTCTAGTGGAGTCCATTCTAACGGAGAGAAAGAAGTTCACATTTTGGCACACTGGATTTAAGGCACCCATGGGGTATATGTCCCAGAAACAGGTGGAAACATCAATTTGGACATATAAATATGCCTGTTAAGGGCCCTGCTGAGTGCCAGGTACAGAGGTGCAAACCTGTTAATCCCAGCACTTTGGAGGCTGACGCAGGAGGATCATAAGTTCAAGGCCAGCCTGGGCTACACAGTGAGTTCAAGGCTGACCTGGATTATATAGTGAGACTCAGTCTCAAAAATCAATCAATCAATCAATCAATCAATCAGTAAATGAAGAGCCCTATTGAGAGGGAGACTGAGAAACGAGCCAAGGGCGGAGTCATGGGGATGACCAACATTTGAGGAATAAAGCAGAGCAAAGGAGTACAAGAGGAGAAAGTAAACTTAACAGAGCAATTATCTCAGAAGCCAAAGGAAGCAAGGATTTTTCAAATAATAATAATGTCAAAGGCAATACACTAAATGAGGACTAAAAAGCACTCAATGCAGTCAGCACTTACAAAGTCAGTGACAACCTTAGCAAGGGATAAATAAGAGTGCAGGAAAGACTCAAGGCTCGCTCTGAGGTTGGACAAGACAGCAACATGTTTTGAGAATGAGCAGAAAGCACCTGTAAAGTGGCAGGATGTCGAGTCTAGAGGACAGAAGGGGCTCAAGCAACTGATGAAGCCAGGGAAATGGATCAAAGAAGCAGTCACAGCTAAGACTTAGGCTAGGATGAATTTGGTATCCACCACATTCTAGCTATGTGGATGCAGGCAAAGAACATCTTCACTGTTTATTTCCTCAACTGTAAAAAGTGGATGAACGTATCCTCACCTCAATGATTGCTGGAAGACTGGGAAGTAAAGCACGAAGCTCAGTGGCTACAGTGCAGTAAATGCTTACACTGTTAGGAGCACTGATGGGAGGGACTAGCCTTTTCCAGAAAGTAAAGAGCAATGATGGGAACAATGACACACCAGGTGTGACGGCAGGTGAGGGGGACACAACAGACGCTCTCGATTCATTCATTAAGGTGGGGGGTTGGGATAATTTGCACATAGAGAAGTTTGGGGTAGGTTTTTTAATTTGAATAATTTTTGAATTATTTTTGCACATAGAGAAGATGGAGGTTTAATTAATGAAAAGTGCAAGTATCAGGAAGTGCTGCTAGAATTCCACCCAGAAGAAACAATCCGGATGCTACCATATACTAACCAGTGAAATCAACCCCCAGAGTGCCGGGGTAAAGGAGATGAAAGCTAAGTGGCCAAGGCCTAACTCAGCGTGAAATGTGTGCAGCAAGTGGTAGAAAATGAGGCAGTCATATGGCTGAGAATACTGGACACACGGTGATGCTGCCATGGGAATCCCAGGTATGTGGAACAGGAAGCGAAATTTGGGGGCAAGTCAGAAATTTATTGTTTAAAAAAGCAAAAAGAAAGAAAAAATAGACAAGCACAAATATTTTCTCTATGAAATAAAGAAAAAACAATTTCTGGAGCCAGATGGCTGGGTTCTCATCTCAGCTAGCCTGTAAGACTATGGGTAGCTTGCTTAGCCTCTCCATGCCTTAGTTTCTTCACCTGTAAAATGGAAATAATGATACCTACTTCCACGGGGAGTATAAAAAGTCATATAACTTATGTAAAGCACTTAAAATATCTGCAATATCAATGCCTCCATCAAGGCACAGATGTTACTGTCACTACCCTTAAGAAGAGTAAGAACAAAATAAAGAAAAATACCACTTTAGAGACCTGAATACAAAAGAAAGGATTACCTGTTTTTGAGTTGGACCTTGTTTTGAAAAATAACCAAAGGAGAAAAGCCATGGGAACTAAAGGAAAAAGAAAAAACAAGTCCTCAGTGATCATTTTCAACACTCACGAGAAATGAGACTTCTAAAGATCTAATTTCATAAAATCTTACTTTTATGAGAAGTTGCCTTCCAATGCCAAGCTTCACAAAGAATAAAAAGAAAAGTCCTGCAAACATCAGCTTAATAACAGAGGTGATGCCTCCCACAGCTACATAAGCAGCGTACTGAACCTAGATCAAGAAAATACAATCAGAATATTACTCTCTACATTTTATACCAAATATATAAAAACAGTAGCTCTTTTCACTTATTATTTGGTCGTAAGTATGGAACACACTTATGTTCCATATGTCTCACTTTATGAATACATTATATTCTGAAAGCCTATTCAGAAATCAGATGTGAGCAGCCTTTATTTTTAAGAAAAATCGTTACAAATGGTGATTATGTTCCCCTACTTGAGCACAACAGTCCACATAATCCATTCTATATCCAAGTTTAGTAGTAGTATACTACAGAATGTAGACTGTACCCACAGCTCCTCTTATGAGAAAATACCCTCCACCTTTTAACCTGACGTTTTCCTCTTGAAGTGGAAGCAAAGACATCTCTCATCAAAAGGAATACAATGGTGTTCCAGAGGCAGCGAGGTGACAGTGTGTGTGATATGTGTATATGTGTGTGTGTGGGGGTGCAGACATCTCCATAAACTATTATTGAAAGAGTCTTCCAGCAGCTGAAACACTAAGCTGTGATGATTTGGTGTTCGTGACACATGGACTCGTATACTGAAGCTGCTGCTGTCGTGTCATGAGGTACGCCTATGACCAACCCCATAAAATAAAAATGTTCTACCCATGCAATTCTATATATTTCCAGAAGCTAAACATGGATCTTTTATCTCACTCTTTCATTTATTTATTTATTTTTCTTTATAAACATAAAAATTCTACATTAAATATGGGAACTGTAATAAACACAAAATACAGTATTAATAAATAGGCCACATTTACTTACTGGTGATTCCTCTAACACTTCATGCAAGTATCGCTGAGTCCGCTTCACCACAGACGCATCAGCTCCCACGAAAGGAATGGAGTATGTGCTGAGTTCTCTGCAGTAAGAAATCGGCCACCTGCAAGACAGACCCGTGCGAGTTTACACTTCCTCTAGTCACAGTAACCACAGCTTCAGCCTGGAAATGTCTGGGTAGAAAACATCAATAACCTTCCTTGGGGTCATAATAAGCATGAGAATGGTAGGTGTGCTTTTAATTAAAAATTATTTTGGGAGTTCTTTTCTCTGTTCATCACACCTGCATCCAAACAAGTAACAAGTGTCACATTCTTTATACCACCAGCACTTAAATGTAGTTCAACTGTTTACCCTATCAATTTCCCTAGAGACTGACGTAAATAACACTCATTACAATAGCCCAGTCCTAAACTGTGTCTGGTAAAGTTCTTTCATAAAAGTGCTGCTAATGAGACTGGTTAATTTACATTAAGAACATCACATTTTAGGACGGCAGTTTTACTGCATAAATCTTAACTAATATTTGACGTTGATGTCAACAGTGAGATGTCATCAGAAACTTCACTTTAAGTATTATTATGTGTAAAGTACTTAAGCTTAAGATAATGTGTTAATTACATTTTATCTTTAAAAACAAGCTTGAGCTCCCAGGTTTTCTTAGCAGCATACTTTAACAGAAACCAGGACCGGGGATACAGCTTGGCAGCATAGCACCGACCTGGCAAGCACCAGTCCTCAGATCAATTCCCGGTCCCGTTAAAAAAGAAAAAAGAAAAAAAGACCCAAAAAACAGACAACCTCACAAAAATTTACTCAGACCAGATACATTAAAGAATAGATTTTGAAAGAGTATACCTTTTTTTCAATTTTGGACCAATGAAAGGGACGGGTTTCAGGTTTGCCGAATTTCGTAGTTTTCTCAAACCACTCTGAGATGCAAAACCATAAACTGCTGACTTCCAGGTACCATCATGAATACACAACCCCTAATAAAATATGTCAAGAGTTAAACAAACATGTCTTAAAGGGCAATAACTGAAAGATAAAAGCAAGCAACTTGTAACTGTTACAAGCAACATTTCACTTCTATTTGTGCAAGACATAATCCCTTATTTCATAATCTCGAGATGAATTTCATGACTAGTTAGGCAGCACAAACACTCATTGGTTAGATCATACTCAGCCCATACAAACCATTTATCTTTCCTCCTACCATTATTTATGGTCTTCACAACAAGTAATTCAGTTTCATCTTCTCACTTTCCCTCAACTAATTAACCCTATTCCTTAAAAAGTAGCCACTCTAATCCCATTGCTATCCTATGCTAATTACTCAAATATTCATGACGCATTCCCGGGCACAATCTATACAATACATACAACATACATCTACCCATCCCTGTTATACTGGGTTCCCCAGCTATTTCCAACACCTGTTGTTCTAGGCCCAAGTTATATATTTTTCTTCCCACTTTAGTTTTCTTAAAATAATTCTTTAAATTTACAGTTAACTCGTGCAATTTATATTTTAATTTCATTTCTCAATTCTTTGCTTTCTGGTGCTGCTGCCAGTCCTAAACCCTTAGTATTTCCCTGCTCTTACTCAGATTCTCCTTCATCCACTTCATCTTTTTCATGACTTAGTTCTCAGTGCCTTCCCTTCTCTCAGCACAATCACACTTCTCCAGCCCCTACCTCCGACTCCAAGGAGAAGGGATTGCGACTAAGGAGAGCACAGAAGAGGGTAGGACCCCGAATACACTGCCACAGTGCCGGCCCTCCTTTACCTAACTTCTAAGTGGGCCTTTTCATTCTCGATGACATAAATATTTAAACTTCACTTACCATTTGATTGTATACAGCTGTATTATGTCCTTCTATCTACATTGTTTACCTACTTTAAATGAACAAAGTCATTGGAAAAGATTTCAAAACTAACTTTGTCACAAGCTTTTTTTTTTTTTGGTACTGGGAGTCAAACTCAAGACCTTGCACTTGCCAGGCAGGCACTTATGCTGCTGAGCTGTATCCCCAGCCCTGTCACAAGCTTTAAAAGGGGAGTATCAGTGAGGCAGACGCACAAAAGATATCTTTGATTGTAAATAAGTAGGAAAGAAAAGAAACAATAAAACCACAAGAAGATCCAGGTTTTCTTGTCTCCTCTCTCTCTCTCTCTCTCTCTCTCTCTCTCTCTCTCTCTCTCTCTCTCTCTCTGTCCTCCCTCTCTCCCTACCTTCCTCCCTTCTTTTCTTCCAAGACAGGACCATGCTAGCCTCAAACTCCTGGTCTAAATAAAGCAATCCTGCCTCAGCCTCCCAGGTAGGCAGGACTATGGATGTGTGTCATTCCACTTGGCTTATAATTTTTTTCTTTTTCTTTTTTTCAGAGCTAGCAATCACACCCAAGGCCTCATATATGCCTAGGCAAGTGCTTTACCAGTAAGCTATAGGCCCAGCCTGCAGGTTTTCATATTTTGGTTTTGATGATGTTAAAAAGCAGACACCAAACATAATTTCTGTTTTGGTACAGACTGATCTCTTCTGTTTTATTAAAATAGAGCTATGAGTCTTAAACGTTTGATTTGCTAAACTATTCTATCCAGGTGTAGCTAATTGGAACTACTTACAAAGATTTCCAAATTCTAGGAGAAAACTTTTTGAAAAATCTAAAAATACCTTCTTATACAAATCAGCCATGAAAAAGGCAAAAGTATTATTAAGTTTAAAATTTTTTATCTTATATTATTAAAAAATGTAAGTAAATAAAAGTGTGCTATACATTACAATTTAACAAACCTATAAAACCAACATACATGGAACTATCTAGGGCATGCACTGCAATACAGGCAGCATCAAAAAAGGACCTTTTTCTGTCCCCTTTTCAGAGTAACCAAAAAAAAATAATTTTTTTTTGTTATTTGTAGAGAGGGCCTCACTGAACTCTTGCTTCTCCTGCCTCTACCTCCTGAGGGATGGGACTATAGGCATGCACCACCATGCCTGGCAGTTCTTTGTAGTGTTTTAACACTTAAGTACTCATTTCTAAACAATTTTGCCAAGTTTTTCTAAACTATAAAGAAATGGAATCATACAGGATACTGTATATTATGGAATTTGGCTTCCTTTGCTCAAAATGGTGATCTTAGGATGTGAAAGATAACTTACTCTGAAGTTGGCCTTTTCACTTTCTCAACTGTGTCTTTTTTTTTTTTTTTCTGGTACCGGGAATCAAACTCTCGACCCCTCACTTGCCAGTCAAGCACTGTGCCACTGAGCTAAATCCCCAGCCCCATATGGCGTCTTTCCATAAAACTAACATTCTTAATTTTAAATGAATGAATTTATCCTTTTTTATTATATTTTAATGTCTCTGTCTTTTTTAAGAAAAGTCATTCCTGACTGTGAAACCATGAAACCAAGAGATGTGTCACTGCCTGGAATGATGGGGGGAGAGGTTAAACACTAAAATCAGAAATGAAAGAGGAGACATGACTACCAACCTCACAGAAATATAGGGGAGTATTGGAGAATACAATGAACACTTGTATGCCAATAAATCAGAGAACCTAGAGGAAAAGGACAAACTCCTGCAAAGACACTGTTATGGGTTAAATTGTACCTCTATACCACCTACATTAGGACTTCATCTATTGAAGTTCTAACCCCTCAATTCTTCAGAGTCTGATTTTATTTGGAAATGAGTTTTTCTAGCAATTTATGAAACTTTTAATATTACCTGTAGATTCTCCTAAATTTTCTACATTCACAATTATATCACCTGCAGAAAACAGCTTTGTTTCTTCCTTTTTAACCTTTATACAGTTCATTTCTGTTTTCCTACATTACTGTTCTGGCTAGGATCTGTCTGAAAGTAATGACAGTGGGCATCTGTGTCTTAGTCTGGATCTCAAAGCAGAAGTTCACAATGACAAACACTGGGTTTCACGTTTGTTATAGCTTTGAGGAACTCTGTTCTATTCCTAGTTTGCTCTAAGTTTTAATCATGAATAAATACTACATTTTACCTAATGCTTTTTCTCTACTGAGATGGCCTTATAAATCTCTTCCTTTAGCCTGTTCATGAGATGATTTATTTTCCTGCTCTAAAATAAACTTTGTCAAAATATATTATTCTCATTACATATTATTGCTCCTAATTTACTAATATTTTGGTTAGGGTTCTTACAACTATGTTTCTATGCAACACAGACTGAACTTTTCCTTTTTAAATTGCTCTTATAGAATTTTGAGATCAAGGTTATGTTAGCCTCGTCCACCCAATTCGTTCAAACACTGGGCTGCTAACACTGTGAAGGGTGGGCTTTGATGAAAAAGAGAACAATCCCTAGTTTTGTGGTGTTCACATTTTAGACAGAGTGAAAAGCCTACAGAAAATGTACCAAACCTAATAGGTGAGAAGTACTACAGTAAGAGAGAGCAGATAAAATTAACTACAGTATTGGGCCCCAGGGAGTTAATGTGTAATGTTAAATTAGGTATTCATGGTAAGCTTCACTAGGACAATAGTATTTGAGAAAAGACTGGAAGGAGATGAAGGAGTCAGTCATGCAAATATTGCAGAGAACTATGCACACAGGCCAAGGAAACAGCTCACACAGGAGCCCTAAGGTAAAAGTGTGGTGCTGTTAAAAAAAAAAAAAAACACAGAAATCAGTGTATTTGGAGAAAAATAAACGGGAAAAATGTGAGAGACAAGGCTAAAGGCCATCAAGGCCACATCATTTGTAATTATGTACACTATGGTAAGGATTTTGGATTTTTTTTCCCAGATACAACAAGAAGCTACTAAAGAATTCTGAGGAGTAATATGGTCTAGGTTATGTTGGAAAAAGATCTCAAAAAACAGAGCTCAATAGTTTGCTGCATCCAAGAAACTCACCTCCTCCAGAAAGACATTCATAGACTAGAAATCAAAGAATAGAAAGCAGTATTTCATGCATCAAAACCCTAAAAACAAGCAGGGGTGGCAATCTTACTCTCAGACAAAGTAAACTTCAAGCTAAAACTGATCAGAAGGGACAAGGAAGGTCACTACATACCAGTGAAGAGAATAATCCAACAAGAAGTGATAACACTTATGAACACATATACACCAAATACTGGAGCACTTGTCTTTTTTTGAGGGGTGGGGTACCATAACTCCAGACCTCACACTTGCCAGGCAGGCCCTGCACCACTGAGCTAAACCCCTGGCCCGAGCATCTGTATTTATAAAACAAATACTACTAGATTTAAAAGACCAAACCCTAACATGATCATACTGTGTTGTCGCAGTACTCTTGCAAATTGACAGAGCAACTAAAACAACAACAAAAAAAAAAATCAAGAAAGAAATATCAGACCTGAACTACACCCTTGAAAATATGGACCTATAGACATCTACAGTGTTCCCTCCACCAGAGTACACATTCTCCTCTGCAACACACGGAACCTTCTCCAAAACAGACCACATACCAGCCACCCAGAAAGCCTGCTTAAATAAATATGAAAAACCAAAGTCACCCCAGGTTTACTATCAGACCACTGTACAATGAAACTAGAAATCAGTAACAGAAAAAACCACAGAAAATTTAGAAACACCTGAAAAGTTAATGACACACCCCTGAACACCCAATGGATCACAAAAGAAATCAAGGAAGAAATTAAACAATTTCTGAAAGCAAATGACAATGTCAGCACAACATACCAGAACCTATGAGACACAATTAAAGCAGTGAATTGGAGGGAGGGAGGTTCACTGTAATCAATGCCCACATTAGAAAAACACAGTGAGCTCAAATAACTCAATGAAGAGCCTCAAGATACTCAAGAAACAACAGTACAAGCCCAAAGTGAAATTAAGGAGTGAAACTGTAAAGATCAGAGCAGAAATTAATGAAATTAAGACTGAAAAAACAAAGAATCAATGAACTGAAGAGCTGGTTCTTTGAAAAAATAAACAGAACAGATAAACCCTTAGGAAAACT